CCATGTCTTATTAAGGGGAGCCGAGCTCCCCCTAGCTCCCCCGTAGTTCGCACCCTGAGTTTAAGTATTTGCTATTGACTGTTCAAATGCGGAGTTTTGCGCATCGTGTGAGAGAGCGAGAGAGAGAGAGAGAGAGAGCGCGAGAAAGCGAGAGAGCGCGAGAGAGAGAGAGAGGGGGTCACATCACAGTGGAGTCAGCTGTCTTAACCGTGGCTTGTGTACACATACAAGCTTCATCATTGTGTCTGTCACGCGACTCTGTTCCCCTTTAGGCCTTGAACTGATGGTAAAACTGACATTATTTACTGTCTTAACATTTATTTTGAAAGATGAAGCTCGCGATTATGGTAAGGGGCGTTACATTTCCGACGAGTGCTTGCGGTGTTCGGCCAATCACAATGCACTGGGTCAGCTGTCAAAGTCTAGACCCCGAATATAAGACGACCGCGTTTTTTCAGATGTATTTCCAAGAAAAAAAACATCGTCTTATATTCGGGACAATACGGTAATATAATAATAGGGTTAATGGATTATTCTCCCAAAAAATGAAAATGGTGTCATCATTTACTCACACTCTTGTCGTTCCAAACCTGTACGACTTTCTTGTTTCTGTGGAACACAAAAGAAGAAATTCTGAATAATTACTTAATAAATACTCCTACAAAACCTCTCCCAAACCCTGAGGGGGGAGTCCGTTTATTAAGGAGTTAAATAAATAAACAAATAAATATTGAACAAATGAAAATGACCAAATAATAATTATAATAACCAAAATAAACAAGTAAATAACTAAATAAAGGAGTGGGGAAGAGAAGAAACAGAAAAAAATGAAGAAAAAAAATAGTTGAATAAATAAAGACTAAATAAAAAAAAAGTAAAAGTAAAAGTAAAAAGTAATAATAATAAAGAGATAGGAATCAATTTATCGATTATAATTTTGTAGCTACATTTGCAGGATGTAATATTACTAAAAAAAACAGTATAATAGAATATAAAAATTATCTTGCTTGCAAAATGTAATAATAATAATAACAACCGTTAAATCAATATATATATATATATATATATATATATATAAACTAATGTAGAGAATATCATTATATACATATATAAATGTAATATACATATCATACACACACATATATTCATATTTCGATCACACACACACACACACACATTTATATATTTAATATTAACAAACCTTGATTTCTCATCTTGTTAACTATAACATATAGGCATACCATTGACAAGCTTCTCATGTTCTACTTCAAATATAACAGTATCATAATGGTGTTGTTAATACTGATACTTAATACATTTGTACATAAAGTCCTCTGTGGCTGGCCAGCTTGAAAATATATCATGAGCAATTTTGGATTTCATGAGGAATATGTGGTTTTCTGGTCTATTAGAGCTCTTTTGTGTCCAGCAACCAGGCAGGATAGTTACTGTTCTCAAGAAACCAAACTCTGTAAGGAGAATGCAATGACATATAGACTTCAACATAATGACAAGATGAAATGATACAGGTTTTGGATTCAGTCCATAAGATCAATGCAAAGTAGGACAAACTATACAATATAAATATTCAACATTACTTTTGACTTTTGCCGGTGACTAATAGAACACAGCCCTATTATAACTACAGTGTGCTCTCCGTTTTCAATTCAAATTTAGTTTAAATGTATACCAACCTATTTGTGGGCAATGAGAGTTTTTTTCTGAATAGTTTTATTTATTTATTTATTTTTTTTGGTGAGAGATCCCTACCTGAATCCACCTATACTAATACACTCATTACAGCAATTGTTATTCAGCTTCAGGCATGTCACCATATTCTGTTACACCAAATACACCAAATAATGATCTTTAAAAAAGCATCATATGACCCCTTTAAAACTGCATCTTGATACAACTGAGTCCACTCTAGAGAAAAATGAGAACTCTCAACATGAGAACACACTGTGCTTTTCAACACAAGCAACTATCCTGCACTTCATGCACTCATAACTAGGACATCTGAGACAGCCCAGTTTATATGGAAACATCTGCACAGTTTATTGAGTCATGAACGCAGTAAGATTAGATTATAATAGTGTGTGAGAAAGACACTGGGATCATGAGATGCCATGTGGCAGTCACATTTCAGTTTATAAATGCCAGAGATCTATTAGAAAATTACATATTTACTCTTTATTTGTTTGGAAAATCCATTGGTTACAAGAGAATAACTGGAGTTTGAAGTAGGCTAGTTCTAATTATAAAAAGCAAGGACTAATGTACCAAATTACTGTTATGGACTGGTACAGTACTTGTTCTATTACTTGCTAAGCCATTTGTACATCCAGTGTACACTAAATTATTTTAAATATTAGGCCATTCATACCAATTACTTCCTCATGCTATCTTTAAATTCAAGATATGTCTGAACTTTTTACATTAAACTGACGTAAAAAATTGTTCATGTATGAC